GATGACATTTTAAATCCAAAGTGTCAAAGGTCAGCTTCACCGTGACGTCGTGACGTTCTGCAGTGACTCTCCTCGTGGCCGCTTTGTGACCGTATGGCAGTAACTCCAGTTCCGGACTCTGCGGTGTGACGTGTGAACGCACCCAAACAAACGTCTCTTTAAAGCTTCCAGGTCAAAGTTTTGTTTGACGAGCTTTGGAGTAAAGCAGCAGTCAGCCTGGCTTTAGTCTTCAAACTTCTAGTTGACGGATGTCGCAGGTTTTTAAAAAGTTTAAGTAGACATGCAGGCTGACACAGGTGTGGAGGCTGCAGCACATCAGCACAAGGGTTTCACTTTGTCATCCTTGTTCCTGCTAAATGTTCAAACACAGATCAAACTGATGAGAGAAATAAGCAGAGGAGCATAAACGCAGCGTCCTTATCAGCATCTCCACAGGTCTCAATATTTGGCTCATTAAAAACAGTATAATTGCTTCTTTTGTTCACAGTAATCTGCTTCACCTTTGAAACCAGCTCGTATCGATTTCTTCCTGTAAACCCTGCATGAGCTGAGTGGCGCAAAATGTTTGTCTGCATACAAACAGCAGCTAGAAATGTTTTGACCTCATTAAATCCATAATCAGCATGATTATGATGGTAACGCACGTCAAACCGCCGCAGATCTGTGCGCCGCAGTTTGTCAGTCTAATTAAACCATCAGAACCATCAGGACCATCAGAACCATCAGAACCATCAGGACCATCAGGACCATCAGAACCGTCAGGATCATCAGGATCATCAGAACCGTCAGGATCATCAGAACCATCAGAACCATCAGGACCATCAGAACCATCAGGACCATCAGGATCATCAGAACCGTCAGGATCATCAGAACCATCAGAACCATCAGGACCATCAGAACCGTCAGGACCATCAGGACCATCAGAACCGTCAGGACCATCAGAACCATCAGAACCGTCAGGATCATCAGAACCATCAGGATCATCAGAACCATCAGAACCATCAGGATCATCAGAACCGTCAGGATCATCAGAACCATCAGAACCATCAGGACCATCAGAACCATCAGAACCGTCAGGATCATCAGAACCATCAGAACCGCCAGGACCATCAG